AGCTTCCCCAAATTTATTTATTTTTGGTGTCTATATACGCCGGGATCCGGAGTCATGGATGATCCTGCGCTCCTCTGTCCTGGATCGCGAGCCCTGGATCTTGAGTCGTGGCTGTGGTCCTGGATCATAGGTCCTCGTGTATTCATCTTCCTATTATACACACATGCATTTCCAAACATTTGGACTACCTATATTGCAAATGTATTATTTTTTCAATTTACACACGGCATCTATTGCACGTCTGTCCGTCCTGGGAGAGGGATCCCTCCTCTGTTGCTCTCCCTGAGGTTTCTCCCATTTTCCCCTTTAAACTGTGGGTTTTCTTCGGAAGTTTTTCCTTGTACGATGTGAGGGTCTAAGGACAGAGGGTGTCGTATTGTCATACTGATATGTTGTACAAACTGTAAAGTCCACTGAGACAAATGTAACATTTGTGATATTGGGCTATATAAATAAACATTGATTGATTGATTGATTTCCATGTAAATACTGTGGTGGAAACCAACTACGACAAAATTAACCTATTTACATTCATTTAATTGTAATACACGTTTCAAAAGGAAGCTGAAGTAACTACATACTGATACCGGTTAGTAAAAAACATGAATTAATGCTTTGACAAGTCTGCAGACAGACGGCAAGCGAAAAATCTGTTAAAAAATGCGTGTTTTCTGAATGGATCAATCAGGCTAAACTAACCTGCAGCTGCTCTGTCCACACTCACAACAACGTCCGAAAGACAGAATTAAAGCAGCGATTGTATTCAGTTTCTGAACAGAGCTGTGAGGAGTTGATTAAAGAGACTCTACACACACACACACACACACACACACACACACACACACACACACACACACACACACACACACACACACACACACACACACACACACACACACACACACACACACACACACACACACACACACACACACACACACACACACACACACACACACACACACACACACACACACACTTCACTGTGCACTGCTGAATGATTTATGTGCAGAGTTTGACCCTTGAAGGCTGTTTCTTCTGCTCTGAAATGGAATCCTGCGTAGTATGAATAATGCCAGCAGCGGCTGCTTTACGCACAGATGTAGCAGAAGCAGCCGCACAACCGCTCCAGCACAGCAGCAACGAACACAGCGAACGGAGAACACAGAGACAACAGCAGGCAACCCTGATTAGGAACTTCAGGAAAGGTATGTACTCTCTCTGTTTGTATCTATTAGTTGTGTATTTGGTGTAATCTATAGTAATTCCACACTCGCAAAATACAAAATGGACGCCGCTTTGTTGTTGTAGCGTTATCGTTCCGTGAGAAACTAAAACAATGACAACATCATGTTGGTGAACGTATAAATAGATTAATTGTATTTCGTGACTATAACACGGCAGTATATAAATAAAGCTGTATTGTATATCAACCCAGTATATATATATATATTAGGGCCGGGACTTTAACGCGTTAATTAAGATTAATTAATTACACAAAAATTAACGCATTTTAATCGCACTTATTTTTGCACCGCGGAACGTTTCTCACTAGATGAGTTTCAGGCGTACCGATTATACTGGAGCACCAACTAACGTTCATGACTTCAGACAACAACAAACCACAGTGAACAACAGTGGGAAATGTTGTTTTAAAAAACGGAAGGATGGAAGCGTCGATAAGAGCACGGTTGTGTGCAAATTATGCAAAAAGAAATTCGCATATCACCGCAGCACATCAAGCCTCAAGTATCATCTCAATGCAAAACATATAGCAGCTAGCGTGGAAGCTAGCGTGGACGTTAGCCTCTTTTATCGCGTTCACACCAAAAAGAGCCGGTACTAAAATTAGTTCATGAGAACCTTTTTACCCCCACGAAAGTCCCTGCTAGAGAGCAGAGAGCTGCTAGAGAGCAGGGACTTTCGTACGGCTCTCTTGTGAGAAAAGAGCTATATTTCTGATTGGCTGGGCGGATTGCAAACCACGCCCCGTAAAACTCCCAAAAAGTTTGGTGAAGCCGCCATTTTATTATCCTCGCATTAGCATTATTAGCATTAGCCCAGCGCAGAAACGCAGAGAGACTAACTTATGGCAACACAAAATAAAACATGGGAGTGGTGGAGATGAGGAGGTGTCGGCGTTCTGGCGATTTACTCGGAAGGCTGCAGTAGAAGCTGCTGGGACTCCCAGCAGCTTCTACTGAAGCCAGTCCCCAACTCCGGGGACTTCCGGCCGGGGGCTTTGGGCGGCAGTATATGCCGTGAAGTGGTTTGCGGCCTGCCAGTAAACCCAAAGCAGAAGAAGAAGAAGAAGAAGAAGAAGAAGAAGAAGAAGAAGAAGAAGAAGAAGAAGAAGAAGAAGAAGAAGAAGAAGTGACGTCAGCGGCTTCATTTGCCTAATCCACCCCCAGGTTCAAAGAGTTCTCATGAACTAAATTCTCATGAACCTTTGTGGGAAAAGTACTGCGGTGTGAATGCGCCTAATGGTATACTAAAATCCATGTGAAAAAAATTGCTTCTCACTGTTCTTAGGTCAAATATTGATATGTGATTAAAAAATGCGATTAATTTCGATTAATTAATTACAAAGCCTCTAATTAATTAGATTAATTTTTTTAATCGAGTCCCGGCCCTAATATATATACTGTTATTCCACACACGCCAAATGGATGCTGTTTTGTAGTTCTACAGACATTGACTATTAGCAGTTTATAAATAAAGCTGTATTGTATATCAGTCTATATATATATATATATATATATATACTATAGCGTGTGTGAAATAACAGTATACATATATATATATATACTATAGCGTGTGTGAAATAACAGTATACACATATGTGTCTACTGTTATTTCACACACGCTATAGTATATGTATATATATATATATATGTATACTGTTATTTCACACACGCTAAATGGAGGAATTATTTCTGATTTGAGTTACATTTTTGAAAGAATAATCCAGTGAAGTAATCAAAGTAATTGTTTTTTCCACATTTGTTTTCACAGTGATAAAGACAAGTATCAAATGGCTTCTGGATCACAGCCATCAACATCTGCCTCATCCGAGCTACGACGTGCATCAGATCAGCATACAGTTGCCCCAGAGCCATCAACATCCAAGCTACGCCGCCGGACGTCTACACCAGTACTAACTCAGCCTGCCTCTGCATCTTCTGATTCAGTGGACAGACTGTCAGGAGGAAAGTGAAACGGGCTGGTGTGTGGCAGACTAAGATTTTTACCGTTCTTGACGCTGTGGTGGACTACAACAGAAGCATGGGCTGCGTGGATGTGTCCGATGCTTTGATTGGGTACTACAGCGTTCACCACAAAACCATGAAATGGTACAAGACCTTTTTTTTTACCATTTTCTGGACATTGCAGTGGTGAACAGCTTCCTTCTCCACAAGGAGCTGCACAAGATGAGGGGTGACCCCGGCAGGACGAAGCCACACACCCAGAAGTCCTTCAGGGAGCAGCTTGCTGCAGACATGAGAGGTGAAGTCCCTGCAGCAGCACCACCACCACCCCCCCCCCCCCCCATCATCACTCGTATGCATTCCCAAGTATTATGGGGAAGATGCCACCGCGCTCAGGAGGTGCTCTGATGCTGGCAACACAATGGTGAAGACCTATCTACTGCACTAAGTGCCTGGTGCCTCAATTCAAAAACACTAAACACATTCAGGTTGTGTACATTTTTTCTTTTTTGCCAGTGTTTACAAAAAAAATTGTTGTGGTGTTATTTCGGTTTTAGTGTCGTTTTTTAGTGTGTTATTTTTGAAATAAATCTGCTCCTGTTGGAGACAAATGTATCCTATGTTTCCTAATTATTATTGTGTAAGTAAACCTTCCTAGAAGTGTTAGTCAGGTGATAAACATGTAAGGACTGTGGCAAAGTCCACACACAGACACACCATTTACATACCATTTTTTTTTAAAAAACACTTTTATTTGGATGGAATGATTACCTATAGTGATAATAAAATTATTTTTACAGTATGGTACCTGAAAAAGGTCAAATGGCACTGATGGTATCCAAATGTGCCAAAATGTGCCCAAAGGTCAGTCTGCCTGGACTACTTTTTGCTAAACCTCTCTAAAAAGGTCAAATTTAACTTGTTTTGCATCAATCTTGATACAGGGTACTTATTATATGTTATACTTTGGATTCCTAAAGCTTTTAGTCTACTATCCCATCATTCAAGGGTAGTTTTCACTATAAGTAATAGGTTTTTTTTTAGGCGGGGGTAAGAATTTACCTTTTTTTACTATGTTCCATCTGAATTTACTCTGACTGAGAAATATCTATATTGATTATGACACTTCTACATCCAACTCACAGATGTAACCTTGCTTTGATAAAATAAATTATTCATATAACCCTTTTAGAAGTTAAGTTATAGTCATTTGTTTTGGGCATAGCATTTTCGAGCCTAAAACCTTAAAAACAGGCTCAGGGCTTAAGAGGTTAAGACTATCATAGTTAATGTAAGCTAATCACACTTCATTTCAAGACACCAGAATTGTTATTAATATTAAACAAATAAAACTTTAAAAACAGTTCACATTACTCACACTCTCTGCGTTGCCGTTCATATTCATGTCTCCTGCTCGCTAGGTGGCGATGTTGCAAAACTACTAGGGTCTAGGGCAGTGGTTCCCAAACGGTGTGCCGTGAGGCAAGTCCGGGTGTGCCGTGGGATTTTGTGACAACCATACGTTATTATTGCAATATACAACTACACAAAAATAATATTTTTTTTATTTACTATAATATCAGTACTTTGTAGGTTTATATGTACGTAATCTGCGCGACTTGCGCGTCCACATCTCCACGTGCAGTGCTGCATAAACATGGCTGAGTCAGCGATAACTTTCGATGCCCATTATTTTGAGTTCGTCCGAAGAATAGACAGGAATGTGACGGTGAGGTGCAAACTGTGTGCAGGCCAGAAGCTGTTAGCCACTGCTGTAAACACCACGTCAAACCTCAACAAGCACCTGCAAAGAACACATGCTAAGGTGAAGCTACCGCACAGCTATTTGTTGTTTGTTTATATCACGTCGTCTGTTCTTCTTCTCTGTCTTCCAGTTGTTGCCTGTTTTGAATGACAAATACACACTACCGCCGCCTGCTGGTAAGGAAAGTTATTGCCACTCAGGCATGCGCAAGTTCGTACGTACTCGGCGAGTAAAGTAACGAGTTACTTTATGTAGATAGTAACGAAGTAGTGTAATATATTACTTTTTTAAAAGTAATATGTAATATATTTTTTTTAAATCGTAACGACCCCATCTCTGGAGTTGGCGTTCTCTACTCTGATTTACATGAAGAACAACAGGAGGTCACGGGACTCACGGCTCTCTGTTGAACAGGACTTGCGAGTGGCCCTCTCCTCAGTGCCACCAAGGATTAAAAAATGCTGCGCGCCCCGACAGGCACATGTATCTCACTAATTTGTAAATCGGCAAAATATTTACAATAGCACATGTTTCAATGCTGATTGCTGACATGTTAATTTTGTGACCTGTCTGGTTTAAATGAGTGTGTTGCTGCTTTGATGAAACCTAATTTGATAAAGTTTCAAATTAATTTCTGAAATATTTCCTTAATAAATATTTCACGAGTAATATAGTTGTCTTTGTCACATTTTATTTGGCATTAGTAAATAATTATGCACATTTACAGATATTTTACATGATATGAGTGATAACACGTGTTATAAGGGCTATTTTGCACAATAGGTGTGCCTTGAGATTTTTACTTGTCCTTTGGTGTGCCTTGGGCACAAAAAGTTTGGGAACCACTGGTCTAGGGTCCTGTGAGTGCGGGTCTGGGAGTGCAGCCTCCGACGCTGCAGCTTCATGCTACTCCCTTAACAACGGTCAATAAGTCCTTAAGAGCGGTCTGTCTGTTCTGGATTAACAAAGTGTCACGTTGAATTGACCAATCAGAATCGAGTATTCAACTAAGCCATGTAATAAATAGCATTATTACATGGTTGAGTTGAATACTCGATTTGAAATGTAATTATATCTTAGATGTTATAACTTTCACATACATTTGGTTTAATTTCATCCTTCAGTGACTCTGAACATGGGAATCATGACTATCCTACTCCCACTCATTACAAATAATAAACAATGATATGTGATATTGATAGTGACTTATTCTTGTGCTTTGTCTTGTCTAATCTTCCACCCAGACCTGTCTGTGCAACAGCCTCAACAAGAGAACAGGAAGTCGCAGAAAAAACCTGCTAAAGCCAAGACGCCTGTAAAAGGTATCCTACATTGCTCCTACAGTGTTGTTTACAAATTGGACATAACATTAATACTTTACCTTTGAATTTTGGACATTTTAAATGTAATTATTAGGGCTGTCAAGTTAACGCAAAAAAAAATTAACGCCACTAATTATTTTAACGCGATTAACGCATGTGTATTTTTTTTCCTCGGCCACCCCGTAGTGTCAGAGCGCATCGAGTTTAAAATACCATCTACAAGCTGATGCTGACAGCCCCGCTCCTGCCGCCCGCTTGTGGCAGACCACACTTCCACGCTCACCGGCAGGCACCGACTGGCTATTGGGAGGACCGGGAGGGTGTGTGTATTTGTGGCCCGAGCGAGCGAGAGAGAGACCTTGCGTGCATTGTTGTTGTTAGCATCTGGTGCTAGCTAGCTGCGCTAACGGATCTAAGGAGCTGTTTAAATGAAAACAGAGGAGCGACATTTCGCCACAACGGCGCCGAGCACTTGACTTTATGCAGGAAGCCAGACAGTGGGACATTGTACGAGAAGTCAGCACACTCAGCACGGATAGTGCGCAACATGATTGCAGCGTCCAGGCAGCTCCCGTTCGAGCATATGCCTTGAGTTGCACATAGCTCCAACACACACACACACACACACACACACACACACACACACACACACACACACACACACACACACACACACACACACACACACACACACACACACACACACACACACACACACACACACACACACACACACACACACACACACCATTTGTATTGTATTATTGAATGAGAGAGGTTCCAGGTTGAATTGAGGCGATAATTTGTAATGTTCAGAAGTTGTTGTGTTTATTATTCATGAGAATATTTGTCATTGTTCAAATGATAATAAACATTAGCATAAAGCATATTTGTCCACTCATATGTTGATAAGAGTATTAAAAACTTGAAAAATATAATAAAAAATGTGCGATTAATTTGCGATTAATCGCGATTAACTATGGACAATCATGCGATTAATCGCGATTAAATATTTTAATCGACTGACAGCCCTAGTAATTATATCTTAGATGTTATAACTTTCAGATACATTTGGTTAATTTCATCCTTCAGTGACTCTGAACATGGGAATCATGAATATCCTACTCATTACAAATAATAAACAATGATATGTGATATTGATAGTGACTTATTCTTGTGCTTTGTCTTGTCTAATCTTCCACCCAGGCCTGTCTGTGCAACAGCCTCAACAAGAGAACAGGAAGTCGCAGAAAAAACATGCTAAGGCCAAGACGCCTGTAAAAGGTATCCTACATTGCTCCTACAGTGTTGTTTACAAATTTGACATAACATTAATACTTTACCTTTGAATTTTAGACGTTCAAAGTATTAATGCTGCTTTAAGTCAATATGTGTTGCACCTGCTAAAGCAGTCTTTGGAGCTGCCATGTTTTGTTGATCAGTTTTTTCCAATAGAATAAGTGTAAGTGGCACACGTCACTAGCTTAAAGGGCCTAGCAAGCTGCAGGCTTGACAGAATAACTTCAAACAGTTGTCAAAGAAAAAGTTGTAATTGTGTATTGTTTGTAATTAATCAACATTGATTTAATATAATCTTACTAGTAGTTTAAGTATTAATTTGTATTGTCTTTTTTGGGCAATCAGCTTTTAGTCATCAGTGTTTGGTTTGTTACAAGCACTGGATTTTAAGAGATTGTTCTAAATGACTATTTACTACTATTTATTTTTTAGTATCATCCTTTTAATCAGATGGACATTGCTATTGTGAAATTATTTCAGGTTTCCAAATGAAATCAACTCATATTTTATATATTAAAAAGAAACAAAAGCTGTGACTTTTACGATTAGGTTATGCTTAGGATGAATTAATGATAGTAACCATGCAACAATGCAGTGGTGCTCAAAATAAATGTCATATAATCTAACAATTAGGGATGCACGATAATTATCGTGCCGATAATTATCGGTCCGATATTAGGAATTATGACGTCATCCCGATAAACCCGATACCAGTATTAATAGCCCCGATAATATACAATATATTTTTTGGGGGGAAAAAAAGAAAAAAATACTGCGGTGTGGGTGGATTGGGATGAGGGGCGCTTGTTTTTCACTCGGCTCCTCCCGTTTTGCCAGTACTGTGGTATTAGTGGTTTAGGAAGAGGGGAGTTCTTCACAAATCCAGCGCTCCCTAACTCATGCCTGGCTGTGACGTAAATGGTGTGCAGCAAACAAACATGTCGTCGGTAGTATGAGACTATTTCAAAGTTTCAGAGTTGAAAAGTTCGCTTGCTATTTGTAACAAATGTAATGCAGAAGTTCCACGAGGAGGGAAAAAGGCAACGAGCTACAATACTTCGAACCTGATCAGTCACCTGAAACATCGCCATCGCTACGATGGTGTGTTAAAAGCGTACAAAGACGCCTGCGCTGCTAAACTAGCGGCAAATCCAAAGCCAACTGCAAAGGCACCGGGGCTTTTATCAATCGACGAGGCTTTTGAAAAAGGCAAGAAGTTTGCCAGAGACGACCCCAGGGCTAAAACGATCTCTAACTTCATCATAGAAATGATGGCGCTTGATGACCAGCCCTTCTCCCTCATCGAAGATAAAGGATTCAGTCTGCTAGTTAATCATTTGGAGCCCAGGTTTATCATTCCAAGCCGCCGCCACTTTTCAGACGAGTGTTTACCAGCCAAGTATAATGAGATCGCCACACTCCTTCATACTCTGATCGATAACGATATACGGGACATAAGTTTCACCACGGACATATGGACCAGTGATGTTAGCCCCGTTAGCATGCTAAGTCTGACGGCGCAGTGGCTGGACAAAGACTACAAACTGTACAGAGCGGTGTTGCATTCTCAGGAGCTACGAGGTTCACACACAGCCGATATGATCCGTGAGGCTTTTGAAGCCATGCTTCAGCAATGGAACATTAGTAAAGAGATGGTCCATGTTGTCCTAAGAGACAACGCACGTAATATGGCGAAGGCTTTTGGTGACTATGGAGTTGATAGCCTGGGCTGCATGGCCCACACTTTACAGTTGGCCGTGAATGAGGCTGTGCTTAGCCAAAGAGCTGTGTCTGACTGTGTTGCCATCGGGCGGAAGATTGTTGGACATTTTAAGCACTCCGAAGTAGCGTCCACCGCCCTGGAAAAGTTACAGGCAAACCTGCGAAAGGGAACAACAACCACTACTACCACCACCAGTACACGACTCCAACAGGACGTGGCCACACGTTGGAACAGTACATTTTACATGCTTAAGAGTCTGGTGGCGCAGAAGCAAGCTATTGCAGCTTATGCAGTAGAATACAAGTTACCAGCAACACTCAACTCCCACCAATGGGCCCTGGTTGAAAACATGTTGACCATCCTCGATCCGTGTGAACAGCTGACTAGAAATATTAGCAAAACTACAGCCACAACGGCAGAGTAATCCCCTCCATCCAAGCCTTAACGCGCCTGCTAAAACAAACTGTTTCAACAGACCACGGAGTGAAAACTTCAAAGGAGACCCTGTTAAAAGCAATCCAAACACGTTTTGGTGACATCGAGGAAAAGCCCTTGTATTATCTCTCAACGCTATTGGACCCGAGGTACAAGGACCGCTACTTCACCCTTGCATCAAAACGGCAAGCTATAGAAATGCTGCGGGAACAGCTGCACAGCGTCGTCGAGAGAGACCGCCGTGCCACAGACACCCCCGGCCCCCAGCCAGACGAGCCACCGGCAAAGAGCAGCAGGGGAGACGAGAACAACAACTCCTTCTTGGGCATGTTTGAGGCAATCCTCGAAGAAAATACAGATGCTGCAACTGAACTCCAGGAAAACAGCAGAGTGGATGCGAACGTAAGTGTATATATTTTGTTTTAATTGTTTTATGAACACAATGTATAACTTATGTTACAAATGGGACCGGATATTCAGAACATCATCATAATTAGATTTTGTTCTTCTGTGTTTTGTTTTTTACTGAAAGCTCCAGTCATATCTGTCGGAGGCCACGCTTCCCATGAACCGTTGCCCGCTGGAATACTGGAGAAGCAACCAGTCCCTTTACGAGTGCCTGGCCCAACTTGCTCGTAAATATCTGTTGGCTCCTTGCACTAGCGTTGACAGCGAGCGTTTGTTTTCTGCTGCTAGACACGTGATGACCCAGCAAAGAAACCGACTCGCATGCGACAAGGCAGAGATGCTGCTCTTCGTTAAAATAAATCTCCCTCTGATCAAACCAGAATTTTTTAAAAAGTAGAACTTTAGAAGAATAGCTACCTGCTCTAAAGGGAGCTAAAGTAACAATGCAGGATCAAGGGTCAAATGTGAATCTCTCTCTCTGAGAAAAAAAGAGGACAGTTGAAACCTCATGCTTTTGTGAAAAACGGGTTCACTGTCATTTATATGGGATATAAAGCAAGTCATTAATCCTTTGTTCTGTAAATGACTGTTTGTTACTGTGTGGAATGCACTTTTTCAGTTTGTGTTTACATATAAATGTCTAACTTGTTTCAGTACCTTATTTTTTTGTTACTGTGAGGAATGCACCTTTTCAGTTTGTTTACAGAGACTGATTTTACTTGTCAGTATTTAATTTGAATCCTTATGCAAAGATTTGCACTTTTGCAGCATCCCTTCTAGAGGAGTAGAGGCCTTTATTTTTATATCACTAAGTGATGCACCTTGCTATGGCAAATGTTTACATTTTACAATCTATTTGACAGGTTGTCAAATTGTTTTTGTTTGATTTCTTTTGGCAAATGTTTGATAGGCTTGTTGTCCTATAAATGCCAGGTAATAGTTGTTTCCATTTCTTAATATTTCTTAACTCATTGTTCACTCATTGTTCAGGCAAACACATTGTCATTGACTGATTGACTCAATTATATTTATTTGGGAAAATAAATATGGTCAGTTTGAAGAGTCAAAACTGTTCTCTTGGCTTTGTTTTGTTCATAGTAGTAATGTTCATGTCATTTGCTTCTCTGTTCATGTCTTTTTTTACCACCAGGTGTGCAAAAACGACAGACTTTTCGTACAATGTCCCACTGTCTGGCTTCCTGCATAAAGTCAAGTGCTCGGCGCAGTTGTGGCGAAATGTCGCTCCTCTGTTTTCATTTAAACAGCTCCTTATATCGATTAGCGCAGCTAGCTAGCACCAGATGCTAACAGCAATGCACGTAAGGTCTCTCTCTCGCTCGCTCGGGCCACACATATACACACCCTCCCGGTCCTCCAGATGGCCAGTCGGTGCGTGCCGGTGAGCGTGGAAGTGTGGTCTGCCACAAGCGGGCGGCAGGAGCGGGGCTGTCAGCATCAGCTTGTAGATGGTATTTTAAACTCGATGCACTCTGAAACTACGGGGCGGCCAAGGAAAAAAAATACACATGCGGTAATCGCGTTAAAATAATTAGTGGCTTAAAAAAAATGTTGTTATCGGTCTTGAGAAGCAGGAAGTTATCGGTATCGGTTTCAAAAAACCAATATCGTGCATCCCTACTAACAATACATTGTCTCTAATATTACTACACAGACCCCTCTGTGCATCAGCCTCCACACAACCGGGCAAATACATCGCCATGGGCTGAAAAGGGTATTTCTGGTTTATTATGTCGTGAGTGCTATATGTATTGCAAGATTAATTTTACTCCAGCCCTTACTGTAATTTTTTTAATGTAATGTTGACTTTTCTCAGCATTGTGTGTTGTGTTTTATGATAAATACTACTTAATAGTTGTTATAAATCACAATGAATCCCCAACATAAAATGTTATCTGATAATAACAAAAAAGGTGGTTGTATGTGATTGTAGTAATGGTCCTTATATCTCCCGATCCAAAATGTACCATTGACCTGGCTGCTACTTGGACATAAACATGCATGACTGGCAAAAAAAGAACACTGACATCATCCGTAGCAAATATATAATCTCTCTAAAGTTGTAATTTGTATCTGTCATTCAAAATGTACAGTGTTTCCACCTCTGTCGGAGCATCCGGGAACCTCTGCAGAAAAGGTACAAGAATACGGTAGGCATGTGTTTCACAGCCAGCTACATTAATTCAAACAGTGCTCAGGTGTGGTTTTATAATGCTTTGATTATTTGCCATTTTGCTATTGGTTAAGGAGAGGGAGATTGTCAAAAGTTTAAAATGTAACAGTATTTAATTATGAGGCCTTCATTTGTTTCAGAAGACCCCAGTCTACAGACAGCTCTGCAGGAGGCTCAGCAAATGATATACGGCCAAAATCAGGAGATTGCCACCTTGAGAGAATGGGTTAATATTCTAACGGAGGACCGTAATTTTCTCAGGGAGAGACTTAAAGAAGGTAAAGATGATTTGAGGAGATTACAAGTTTAGAAATGTACATATACGTTGATTGTGATGAAACAATTGCTGTTATTAGGAAATCATTACTTTATTTGTTTTGTGTAGCTCTTGCACTCAGAAAGGAAAGGGGAGGCGAGCTAGCCATGAAGATCCCACCTGGAGATCAACCACCTGGACAGCGGAAAGAGGACTCGGATGAATCGGACCTTTCGTCATCTAGCGATTCATCCGAGTCTCAAGTTCTGAATCATCTGAGGACAAGAAGCCCAAGAAGTCCAAGTCTAAGCGCAAATCGGACAAGAAAAAACGGAAACATTTGCGAGGTATGTACTGACTCTTTCAAAAACTCAAGTGATACAGTTGTCACTCCAAAATGAGGTTGGCTTAGCACTTAATCAATATTGATATAAAATAGAAAGACCCACCGAGATTGCAGAAACATGTTATACCTATCCCCGACAAAGTCCTCAATAGTAGCCTGTCATTTCAAAGTATTACAAAAGTCACACAACTGCAGAGGGCAATTGTTTTTAAGAGAGATGTACTTGCTACTGTCCACCATAAGCAGGTGACAGCCATTACCACAGAAGCTGAAAGATGCCTTGCTTGTCAAGATGTTGTGTCAATTTTGTTACAAATACATTACCTGCAAAAAGGGGATTGATTTATTTTCACTATAATTCCATCTATAAGTAACATCCTATCAGATGGGGGACCCTGGGACAACATCTTGAACCAAATGGGCATCCGTGGATTAATTTGTGTCAGTTTATGGGTGTTTGATGTGAAAAAGTTTGTTTGTCGGAAGTCTGCCATGGTAGCTGGATGTAAACCTCTCAGTCTCTCTTTCAAAGATTACAGTTGTCATGGACATACTGTATGTGTCCTTTTGCCTCTCACACATATGATCCTAGCCTGTGTATTTACTTGATTCCCACTAGCATCTATATGCACACATAGTGCAGTCAGCTAACAGATGGATCCTTTACCGCTCGACAGACACCCCACTCTGCTGGTGTTTTATGAAAAGCGTGAAGACACAGTCCTCACCATTTTTTTAAATTACACATTGTTACAAAGTGGCATTTGTCATTCTAACAAACATCTTTGGTAAGCATACAAGCACTGGCTTCCCATACACTTTTACCAGATAACAGTCAAGAGTATCATTTTGTAGTAACTCATTAAATTGAAGTGAATAAACCTGACAAAATGTAAAAATGAGAACCCTGCTAACTGCATTGATCCCGCACTTCATTTTATGGAGGTCATTTGAGTGCAGGGAGGTAGTTCTAGTGTGGTCCTATAGGGTTTTCTTGAGTTGGACTTGTGTTGCGTTGAAACATTGCTAATAGGCGCATTCACACTGCGGTACTTTTCCCACAAAGGTTCATGTGAACTTAGTTCATGTGAACTCTTTAGTTCGCATGAACTAAGTACAGATCGCGTTCACACTGGAAAAAGTCCCTGGGGGTGGATTAGGCAAATGAAGCCGCTGACGTCACTTGTTCTTCTTCTGCTTTGGGTTTACTGGCAGGCCGCAAACCACTTCACGGCGTATACTGCCGCCCAATGTCCCCGGCCGGAAGTCCCCGGAGTTAGGGACTGGCTTCAGTAGAAGCTGCTGGGACTACCAGCAGCTTCTACTGAAGCCTTCCGAGTAAATCGCCAGAACGCCGACACCTCCTCATCTCCACCACTCCCATGTTTTATTTTGTGTTGCCATAAGTTAGTCTCTCTGCGTTTCTGCGCTGGGCTAATGCTAATAATGCTAATGTGAGGATAATAAAATGGCAGCTTCACAAAACTTTTTGGGAGTTTTGCGGGGCGTGGTTTGCAATCCTTCCAGCCAATCAGAAATGTAGCTCTTTTCTCACAAAAGAGCCGTTTGAAAGTCCCTGCTCTCTAGCAGTGACTTTCGAGGGGGTAAAAAGGTTCACATGAACTAATTTTAGTACCGGCTCTTTTTGGTGTGAACGCGATAAAAGAGTTCACATGAACTAAGTTCACATGAACTTTTGTGGGAAAAGTACCGCAGTGTGAATGCGCCTAATGTAACTTAAGAGAGCTCTGACTCCAGTGTGCAGTTACCTTTCTATTGTATTCTTACTATTTCTGCACAATTTGTACTGTACTTGCTGTGCATAAGTGGGTGCTAAAGTTGACTGAACTGTGTAAGAGTTTGATGATGTAGCAAATATGAAATTGTGAATCAATGTGCAGCACTGCCACTTTGATCAAGCTAATTTTGTGCTTTCTATTGTCTTACAGTGAAAACGCCAGACCACTCCATTCGCCGGTACAATATGGTACTGGAGATGGTAAAAAAGGAAGGCATCAGCAAAGCTGTTGCATTCACCAGGCTTGGTGTGGATCGCAATACAATTGTGTATCAGGCGCCGATTGCTGAAATTGCCTTCGTAAACCCAGAGCTGTACAAAACCTTGAGGTCCAGCTTCAAGAGGAAGGACAGCATCAAAAGATTTGCTGAAACCTGTAGGGGCTTTTGCGAGCAGGAGCCTACAGCTTCAGCAATCCTCCAACATAAGGACAATGGATCCTTACTTGACATTCACAGAATTCATCCTTAAGTGCCCAACTCCTTGTTTGAACCGGAGCTCTGTGTTATGAAAATCCATATTCCTAGATGGGTTAAACTGTTGTTGTTCTGTGTCACATGGTGCTAATTGTGCTTGGCAGGCCTGCCGGTGCATAACAGCCCACTGGTGATTCTGGTGTCACCCATCTCTCCCTGTGGCACTCAATTAATATTCTGTTTTACAAAATAAAAGTATTTTTTGGTGAATAAACAAAATCGTAAAATCTGCAGTACATTTTGTGTAAATTCAGTGACCTTACTACCATTTCTCCAACCCACCCCATGAATTGCTTAATACATTCTATTTCATACCACCATTAATCATATGCTATTTATCAGTGTAAACGATGGATCAGGTCACCACTTTATTTGAAGGGGCAC